AGCCTCCAGGTCTCAGTACAAAGGCTGGACTACCTCCCCTGCTCATCCACTTCCCCTGATCCGTGTCAGTCTCTTCTGACACTTGCTTAAAATGCTGCTGGTCTCCTTCACAGACATACATAAACTTGTGATTATGCACAGAGGTGCAGCGATCCGTGTAGGTCTGTCTCCCTCACTATAAACTCTGAGAAGGCAAAGCTTTTTGCCTGAGCTACTCTAACTGCATCTCCAGTACCTGGGACAGCGGTTGGTATGTAGTAGGTATTCAATAAGTACGTTTTGCAGAGATTTTTCCTTTTAAGCCAAGGCACATTTCCACATTTCCAGAGATCGAGAAACAAAAGAGAAGGTGAGGGCTGTCTATAAGGTGTAACATCCTCAGGGCTGAAAATAGGCAATATCTTTCCTCTCTCTTCAACTGCCAGTTAATTCATAAAACATTTACTTAACAAATGAGTGGGTTTCCTCTTTTCCAGTCTGGAGAAGAAGAAAAAAAAATGCACTTGTAAAGAACACAAAAACACACACACACCCCTGAAAAAAAAAGAAACAACAAATTTCAACCCCAACACACACAGAGGCGAGTCCTAGGCAGAATCAGCCTTCAGACAAGATAAGAGAAATGTTGAAAAGCATTCTTGTCAAAACTAGGCACTAGCTTTCAACTTATTCTGCTCCCATGGGATCTCAGGAGGCGCCTTAGCATCCGTATGCTAATTACAGACACAGTGGCCTATGGTAGGCACACACAAATCTGACTTAGTGGCTGGCATGGAGGGAACACTGTCCAACATCCTTAAGAGCCTGTAAATGACACTACTGCTTGGGCTTCCCCCTCTCCAGCCCTTTCCAGCCCCACCCTGTTCACACACCACTCCCCCCCACCCCCCTTCTACTCAGATAGCAGCCAAACTAGCTGCCTGGTTTGGTAATAAGATTGAGCGAAGACTCGGAAGGCCCCCTGGGCTCCATTATCACACACGCTCTACAAGAAGGGCCACCTCCAGGGATGGTTGTTGCCGATCTGAGCCCCACTTGGCTGCCAGGAAACCTTTCCCATTGAGGATACCCTGGTCAGGAGGCGCAGCCCCAGGTCCGGGGGGAGGCACCCCACCCATCTGCCCAAGAGACAAAGATCACTAGAAACAAAGGACACACACACATACACACACACACACACAGACTTGCACACACAAAGTCAAAAGCAAATACGGACACTTGGTGCAATTGCAAGCCAAACAGCCAGCCCACTTGGTGTATCTTTAAATAGATGTTGAAACAATCCAGAAGGGACAATGACTATATGATAATGACAGGCACTGTATGGGGCAGGAACCCACGCTGCCTCCGCCCTCCTCCCAGGCGCATTTTTCTGCCTCAGGACACATGCTGCCAGGAGCAAGAGTGCTTCCACTCAGGCAGGCGCGCGCACGCGGGGGTGGAGGCAGGGCGAGGGCGGCCAAAAGTGGGAAATACCAACCTTTAGGATCCCAGTTCACCTGTTTTCTTGGAGTCTCGATTGGAAATTTCATTGCTCCGTTGTCCAGATGGGGAGGAAATGAAAAGAATCAAAATAAAGTCCTCAAGCTTTACACGCCTGGTTACAGCAGTCCAACAAAACAATTTCCGAGGATGGGGGCGCCCTGGACCGGCTCGTGGAGGAACCCCAGAGAAAGGCAAGTGGAAAATACTGGCTTAGGAGAGAACTGGAAACGGCTTGGGTGTTAGCACCGGTTGAGGGGTGGCCAGCAGCAGCCCCCTGGGTAAAAGGAAAAGTAAGATCCACGAGGGGAGGGTGGAGAGGGGGGTTCGGGAAGATGAAAGAGCCAAGCTTCCCAAATGCGGTGCCAGCAGGTTGGAGGCTGAGCAGCCGGAGGGCCTGCGCGAGGGAGAAGCCCACTGCAGTGCCACTCCAGCCCCGGAAGGCGTGTGTGCACACACTCCTACACACACACACTCGCACACACTCGCCCGGTCACGGGCACGCGCTGGGGCGGGCACGTCAGCCTGGCTCCGTGGCGCAGAACGCACACGCCCCACCCCAGCGGTGGTTCCTCGCCCGCGGGCAACGCCCCCCACTCTCCACCCCCGAAAGCCATTGGACGTAGAGGTGGCGCGGCACTCGGGGAGCGCGCAGCCAAGGCGACCCTCCCCAAACCGCGCCAAGACCGGAGAGCTGGGGCGCTTGGCCAGGGCTCTGCCCGCAGTAGTGCGGTGACAAGCGGCGGGAAGCGGCAGCCGGGAAGCCGCGGTGGGGCGGGGCGTGGGCGACAAGCGCTCGGCTACTTACTGGCTGCGCGGGCGGGCGTGAAGGCACCCGGCGCGCTCCGCGGAGTTGCAGCCGGAGACACGCTTGGCTGCCTGGAAGGCGCTGCAGGAGGCGGGGGAAGAGCCGCGGTGGCCCTGCCGCAGACCTCTCTGCCTGCGGCCGCTTCTTGTTACCGTTCTCACCCAGGGCGCAGCCCCCTTCTTTTCTCACTTCATTTTTTCACTCCAGTCCCCTCGTGCGCCAGGTTCTCCCACCTGCGCCCCGAACCTACGTCCCCAGCGCACTCGGGAGAGACCGGTGCCAGCCATGAGCCTTTTGTTCTGGGACCGTTCAGCATCAGCCTCGCTCTCCCCGCCCAGGGAAGCTCGCTCCCCAGGCGCAGGTCTGTCCCTACCCCAGCTACCAGCAGCCCGGCTGAGGCCGCTGTTCGGAGGCCGGGGAGAAGGCTGGAGACCGACGCGGCCCCAGAGGAAAGCTGAGTTGCCAAGACCGGGCTCCGGGAGGCGGCGTCCCCGAGAGTCCGGGAGTCCGAGGGCCCAGCAGGTACAGCTGCGAAGGGCCTCCAGACTTGTTCCCGGAAGGAGGCTAACCTGGCACATTCTCCCTCCCCCGACTCGCACTGCCCCCACCTGCACCTACGCAGGGCTCGCGGTGGGACCTCAGTCTCCAGAAGAACCCAGTGGGCTGAGATGGTCCTGAATGGGCCACTGGAAGTACCAATACGAACATTTAGAAATTATTTCAGGTGCCTAACAACGGAGCCTTGCCTGTAGTACATGCTCAAGAAATACCTGCTAAACGAAGGCATGAACTGCCTAAAGCAGTGTTGGAGAGAAAGTAGTTTAACTTACTGTCCGTTCCACAGATATCTTGAACCCCTTCTATGGGCCATCACTGCACTAGGCACTGGCGATATGACAAAGAACGACCCAGGCGTGGACCTGGCCTTCATGGAGCTTACTGTCTACTGCCATCAGGTGCGGGTTAGACTGGTCACTGCCTTCACTTAGGAAAAAGAAAGTAACTGTTCTGCTCATTCCTGAGCCTGCTTGCTATGGCTGTAAACCCCTAAACTGAGAGTAGTTCTCTGCACTGCACGCCACAATAGGCCACCTCAAGTCTTCTGAGCAGCCCTGTGTCACCGGCGTCTTTCTCATTGTCTGTTCCACACTGTTACATCCAGCTTTCAGAGTTCCAGAGCAAGAGCCACAGAGGTCCCCTGTCACCTGTGGGGAGGGTTGGTAAGTGCTTTGTCACTGACCCTACAGGCTGCCAGGGCTCGAGTCCAGAGCTCTCTGTAGACCCTCTTCAGAAAAAAACTGGTACAAATCTGACAGGGCCACCTGAGTCCTCGGCCCTTGGGGCAGACTCAGGCTCCCCGGGCACTTCAGAGACACCTTCTCTGGGACTCTTCCCATACTTTGCTTTTCTCAGAAAGGCTGAAGGCTGAGAGAATGGATGAGACGCGCAAGGAGGTTCTGCTTCTCTAGCCATACCACGGAGGACATCTGTATGTATGCATATTCTGCTCCAAACCCAAAGGGAACTGCTTGTGCGCTCCTGGGAAAGCCTCCAGAGCCTCATCTGCCGTCTCCGGAACTGCTCACGGGTGGGAGGGCTCCAGCCCAGTCACTGCAATGCCACATTTTTACCTGCATCCGAGTCCGAGGTATCCACAGAGAAAGATACCCGCTCTCCTGAATCCTCTGAGGATAGAGATGTAAGACTGGCATTTATCGAATGCATCCCTCACCGTCTCCTACTTCTCTCCATTCATCTTCCCTCTATCTTTCCTCTGAGGAAGCTTTTACTGGTCCCATTTTACAGGTGAGAAGATCACAGCTGAGAGAGATGAAGGAACACGCCCAAGGTCACCCATGGAGGCTCAAACCCAAGTTAGCTGACCCGTGAATCTGACCCTGAAGGTCTCTCATGCGTTCTTTTGGGTGATGAAGATCTAAACGCTGCATTATCTAAGACTCCAGCCCCTCCACTGCAAAAGGAGTTGACCTAACCTTGTGCCCTGGGGTCCCTGTCACAGAATGAGTTCACTGTCTTAGGCAAATTGCTGAGGCACAAAATACAGCCTCAGGGTGCATCATTCTGCCAACCAATAAATATTTATTGAGCATTCCCTGTGTAGCAGACAGTTTGCAGTTTTTCTTAAAAGTTATACCAGGATGTGGAGAACCTTCTCCAGAAAAACACCAACAGGACGGTTACTGGGAGGTTGGGGAAGTTTGGGATGGATCTATTGGGGGTGAGGGAGCAGCATCGGGGTGTGGACTCCTCCTGCAGGTTGAAGACTTGCACTAGTCATTGACCCTTAACTTCATCTCTCTGCCAAGGCGCCTCTCTGCCTCCCCCTCCTCCCCCCCCCCGCCCCCCGCCACAACAACAACAATTTCTGGGGCTTTTTCTCACCTCCACTTTCATTCTACTTTCTCAGAATGTAGGCCGACAAGTTTTGGTGTGAGGGGTTAATCCACCAAAATCAATCAATGAATCAATTACTCCAAACACCCCTCCCCTAACTGGCCTAAATTGAATCCAACTTCTACACTGTGTAGTATTTGGAATGGACTGCTGGGGGGCCTGGGGTGTAACGGGGAAGCGTCCCCCCACCCCCAAGTAAAACAACTTAGCACATTAACTCTTTGTGCTACTGTCATCCCCTCCCATCAGCTTCTATTCTAAGCGCCTTCGTAATTACAACCGAGATTCCACTTACCCCAAGAAAGAGGGAAGAAGTGGTCTGTGCAGATAGAAAGCATCCAAAAAGGATGCCGTGCCGCGCGGTTCCCTCTTTCTCTGTGCCGCCCCAAGTTCCATGGCTATCGCGGCGGGCGGGTTAAATCTGGTGGAAACAAGCCGCCTCGGGTTTCTGCAGCAGGAAAACAAAGCATCGTGGCGCAACGTCGCCCTGCACTGGCCGCCCTGCACTGGCCGAGCCCCGCCAGCAGCTCCGGGCCGGCGGCGGCGTCCCCGCGCGTCGGGGACGCAGGTCCTCGCCGAGGAGGCGTGGCTGCGGATCTCGGGGTTCCTTCAGCTTAGAACCTACAATCGCTGCACCACTTTAATGGAAGCCGTGGCCCAGGGTGGCAGGGCTGGGGAAGTCCAAATATCTCAGACACCTCCCGCGAGGAAGTTTTCCTCGAGTTTGCTCCCTTCCCCCCGCCCCGCCCCGCCCCGCGGCCCCGGGATGGGTGTGAGAGCAGAGAGGTGCTGCCCGCCTTGTTGCGGGGCAGGGGGCGGGGGGGGGGGGTCTCGGAGCCCCTGGCAACGCGCGACTCAACCAGAAAATTGCTGAACGGGGATTCAGGACGCCCGGGTGGGGCGCGGCGGGAGAGAGTCCAGACGGGGAACCGCAGGGAGCGGGAGGCGGCTTGCAGGATCCTGCTCGGTGCTGGCTCGGCAGCGCGGGAGGAGGAGGGGATCAGGTCTCCTTAGAATCTACTTTAATGACTGCGCTCCTTGGCCTTGGGTTGTTTTCCTTCGGTTTCATCGTTCCTCTGAGGTCCAGAAGAAATCCCAGTCTTCCAAGGTCGCCCCCACTCCCAAGGCCCCTCCGAGTCCTCTTCCCAAAAGAACCGTCATTTTGCGAGGAGAACCCCGCGCACAGCCTGTGTCTACCCACCCGCCCAGCGGTAAAACTGACAGGGTCGCTACGAATTGAAGTTCACTTGAACTTCTCCGACCGGAAATGTGTTATTTCCCTGATGAAGTTTCCACTTTGTTCTCAGCATTTAAGCACGCCTACGTTTGTCTTCGTATCCCAGCCAGATCTGTGAAAACACATCCTGAGATGTATGCTGCGCTAATCTCGGGTTCTGCTTCTGTCTTGGAAAAGCGGGAGGTGGCAGCAGCTATAGAGCAGTGTCAGGTGTCACACTGCTCGACGACATGCTCCGTGTGCTTAAATCCTGCAGCTTTGTTTTGGTGACTCAAACCTATGACTGGGGATTAATGAAGGCAAATACTGCTGTTGACTCCAAAGAGGCTGTACTTCAAGCATTAGGTGGATGAACATGTTTCATAAGGAGGAACTGTATCCTCTCCCTTTGTAACTTTCTTTGTTTTAAATTTTAGCCCTTAAGAAATATAATGAAAGTGCCCATGAAGCATTGTGCCAAGCATTTTACCAAACTGTACAGAGTTTCTTATAAAACAAGTTGTTTTTTTTTTTTCATTGATTTTAGAGAGAGAGAAGGGAGAGAGGAAACATCTATTTGCTGTTCCATTTCATACATTCATTGGTGGATCCTTGCTGGTGCCTTGACTCAGGATTGAACCGTAGCTTTCCCTTATGGAGACAACACTCTAACCAATGGAGCTTCCCGGCCAGGGCTCTGTAAAACAAAGCTCTAAGGTGATTCTCTCTCTCTGAGTTATCATCAAAATATATTCCCAGGTAAACTTTTTTAGAGCTGGAGCTGGAACTGTTTTGGGGTTTCCCTCAATTTTTTACTTTGAAATTTTCCAAACACACAAAAATGTTAGCAAAAAAAAAAAAAAAACAGGTTCCAATCAAAGCTGGTACTTGTTCCATATATTTAGTGTATTCTAGTCTAGAAAACTTCCTCCATTTTTTTAATGACATTGATTTTTTTTTAAGAGTCTAAATTCATTTGCTTTCTGGTAATTTTTAATGTCGTGATGTAGCTAAAGATCAGTTGAGCCAAAGGGAAGGAAAAAGATTTCCTGACCATAGCAGGTCATTAAAATAATTCAACACCTTCTGTAAATTGTGTCCATGCCAATATCCATGAAATAGAAGGCAGTTAGCTGTATTCCTGCTCACTCAAGCTTCTCCTCAGACTTAGTCCTAGCCTTAGTCAAAGGAGTTATCTTTGTTTCTTATGCCTCAAACGCCCGTGTTGCAGGGATGGATGAGCATTTTCACACACACACACATCAAGTTGACAGGCACATATGGTATTTTACTGAATTTAAAAACAAGAATTCAGCAGGGTTACACACCATAATGAATGAGTTCTGATTTTCATGTCATTCTAGGAAAGTTTTAATTTCAACCAAAATATTAAGGCTCATAGAAGGCATGCATATTTTCAACAGCCTATTTATTTATGGGGAAGTCTTAGTCCCAGAGTCTTTTGGCTTGGCAAAGAGTTAAAAATCCTCTAGGAGGAACCTACTGTCCTGCCATTTTGACAGATGCTTCTCCTCCCAGGCAGCCAGTAAAAGACTTGCGGGTAGTCTGACCAATGGAAGGGGTTTTGTTTTTGAGGAGGTGGGACATAGTCTCAGCATCCAATTAGAATGTATGAAATAAATGCATTTCATTTTTGCTGCTTTTGAAGCACATATGTGTTTGGTTGAAAATGACTGGACCAAATGCCATGTCAGAAGTTTCCTCTCCTACCACTAAGTCACCTAAAAGTCTGCTGAATCATACACCCAGATTTGGAAGACATCATGTTAAGACACTTCCTGGTTCAGCTTTCCACCTCATATAAATTGGTTCAGGATTCCAATTTATGTGTCCATCCAAGATTTCTAAATATATCTAGTGAAAGATTCCAAGCTCTATATTGATAGGTTTTCCAGAATTTAGGGAGCGTTAGTAGGCCAAATCTTTTCTTATTTCCAGCCTACATCTTCCTTCCTTCCTTAAGAGCAACAAGACCCTTGCAATAATTTTTATCTCTTAGAGATTAAATTGTCCAACATCCTCTTCTTTGTGTCAAGAAACTTTTTTTACCCCTTTACCAATATATACAAGTATTTAGCCAACTCATACTTTTCTTAAAGGCATGTTTTCACAAGTCTCAGAACAGAAAATCTCTCTAAGCCTTACTGAGTTTCTCCATCTATAAAACAGGGATAAGTAAGAAGTGTAAAGTTTTTGGCCAACATACCAACATGTTTGCCAGCCATCCTCTTCAGTAGGAAGTACAACCCAGCAAGCGAATTGTGCCAAGCCTCACTCCATTTCCTCATCTATAAAATGGGACACTAAGTATCTGGCTATTTCCACCTACAGGGCTGCCTAAGAAGATAATAGATATGGAAGTGCTTTGGAAACTGCAGGGATTTACAGATTTAAAGGATCATTCCTTTTTTTTTTTTTTTTGCAAACTCTTTTTAAGTGTTTAAGCTATTACAGCTATTCCACTTTTTCTCACTTCTCCCACCCCAACCTGGCCCCATGATGATTACTCGCTCCATAAGATTTTTCTTATTCTGTGCCTGGTGCAGAGCCAGAATTTTGAGATTACCTCCATTTATTTCTCATAACAATCCTAGAATATGGGTACACTTATCATCATGATTTTATGTAAAACAATGTCTGGCATGTTTCAGGCTCATACAGAATTTGTTGGGGAGGAAATTGGAGCTTGGAGAGGCTAGTAACTTCTTCAAGTACATATGGCTAGTTAGGGGTGGAAGTAGAAATCTCACCAGACCCCCGCTCATCCGTAAGTCAGTTACCATGCCTTAGGCACAGCTAATTACATCAAGTTATTTTGATCTCTGGAGGAGAGTCCGTTTCACTCAAAATTGCACCAAAACTGCCTCTACTCTTTTCGGTATCTTCCCACCTTCCAGAGTCCCCTATTTTTCCCCATAGCAGTGTGTGCTTTCTGCACTCTCTGAAACAACTGATGATGCCTAATGAATGTTCTCCCCATCTCAGAAGTATTTCCTTTTAAGCAAGGTAGTGAATATGAATCTTAGACCAGTAGGCATTATCAAATAGTAGAAGTGTTGTGGAAGACGTGAGCACAGAGGGAGGTGGGAAAGCCTTTATTATATCCCTGAAATTATACCAAATCCCCCCAAATGTGTGGCCATCATGCAGTATTTAGTCAGATAGGCAGTCAGGTTGGAATTACTTTGACTTTTTCAGGTCATACCCACGTCTCCACAACCACACTCGACTCTTTCAGTGGTGGATTAATAATGTGAATTATAAAAAGAAAATCTCTTTCTAGTTTACGTAATTCTCCTTTATTTAGATTCTGGTACTATTTATATGGTTTTTACTGAATTTTTTTCATTAGCATCTATCCCCCCCGATACCCACTTCCCCCTCTGCCCACCCCCTCACCCTGCAGCCACCACACTGTTGTCCACATCCATGAGCTCCTTCTCTCTCTTTTCCTCTTTTTTTGCTCAATCTTCCCCTCAACATCCTCCCAGAGCTGTCACCCTGCTCGCTATCTATGAGTCTCTCTCTATATTGCTTTTTAGTTCAATTCGTTCATGAGATTCCACATATGAGTGAAATCATATGGTACTTGTCTTTCTCTGACTGGCTTGTTTCACTTAGCATGAGGTTCTCCAGGTTCATCCATGCTGTTGCAAAGGGCGAAAAAAAAAATTTTTTAAGGCAGAGTCTGATATAGGCCTACACCAGAGTCTTTGCTGATACTGTATTTTTAAAAATAGCCATCTAATGTTACTGACACACATTGAAGTATTGATCCACTCAGACCTGAAAAAATAATTAATGATCTGTACCACTCTTTTCATTAGGAATAAAAAAGTTAAGCTTGACAACTGTATCTATTATGGAATATAATTATTTTCATTTCTTTTCATTTTCATTTCAAATATGAGGCACTAATTTTCAAGAAGAGTTTCCAAAGAGTCATATCCTTGGGTTCCAAAAATGCGTAAGTGACCATAACCTTCAGTTAGAAAGAACCCAACATTTTTTGGAAATGTACCAATTATTGTTCCACTATCCATTGCACCATAAAAAAGTCTTCGCTCATCAAAACTCACCAAATTAAATATGCCCCAGCAACATCTTAGAAGGGTTAATTACTGTATTTGTTAGTATGTAAGCAAGGTCTCTGCGAACCTCGATGGTCACTGCTATCTTATATATCAGTTAGCAATTAGACAAAGAC